AAGTGCTTTATGTCATCTCCATACCAGGTAAGTTTGGGTACTGCCCCCACCCAGTAACAGTCTATATTAGGGGTCCCATTAAGGGCTATATATAACCATATTATATTTATTATCCAGCTGTTACTGAGGGGGGGCAGTACCCAAACTAAACCCTATAGACCCTATTTTTAATGTTGGTACGATGTGGTTTAGGGGTCATGACCAAACTGTTCTGGGAATGTTGAGGGGTCCCGTGTGGGGCCGATCCCTAAGTTAGGGGCACCTACTACACTAATGACTTAATGGGTTTAGAGTTTAGGGCCTCCCTAAACCCTAAATCCTAAACCCTAAAGTCTAGGGTTCAGGGCGTAGGACTTAGGGTTGCACGGCTAGGGCAGCGTAGCAAGATTCAGATCCGGCAAAATCAGGGAATATCACCTCCAACAATGGAGAATCAAACGGAAACGTAAATGGAACTGGGATACTATAGCTGAGAGATCTTGGGGTTTCCAAAAATTGGGGGGGGGGGGGGTCCCTTATGCGGCATTAGGGTTTAGGGTTTAGGCTTTTAGGGTTTAGGGTTTAGGGTCTTATGCGTTACATGGTAATCGTTCAAAATACTTGTTCTCAAAAACCCGATAAATCAAGTTCCCGTTTTGGTTCTGACTCCCTTTAAGGAAGTGTATTACCAATGGTCCCTCCTTTACAAGGACCTTCAGAACCGCCCCTACATGTGATTTTGTCAATCCGGGCAAGTGTGGACGCGGAAAACTGTGACAAAAGCAAAAGATGTAGTCAATCAGGCTCAAAAGCGTGGATGCTTGTACCCCAAGATAAGACTATCCCCAGCTACGAAGACCTCAGCCAGGGACTCAAACCTTTGATAAACTCCAACTGTAAACCAGTGGCCCGATGAAATTGGCATTGGAGGTGAATCGCGGAACTGCGCTCACTGCGTCCTTGAGACTCCCTTAATAAACATGCGCTGGCTTGGGTCTAGACTGGCAGGATTCCAAGAACAACTTGGCTGCAGGAGGTATGCTGGGATTTCTTGAGGTTTAGGGTCCACGGTCTAGGGCTTAGGGATTACCCGTGCCTACACATACGGAACCCAACGGAAGCCCCATTCACAAGAACAGTAACCCTTGAGGGATCTTCTTGTTTGTGGACGAAGGTATAGGGACGGGTGTCACTGCGGGATGTATACTCAACTGGAAACAGTAACAACCTGAAACTTGATGGAAGAGCAACGCTGCTGTATATGTTTGTCCACCTGCCAGACTCTTTTCATGTTCTAAACTCCTGTAAACCCCCCTTTCCTTCGCAAGTACCCCCTCTACAGAACTTGGAAAACTCGTAAACGCAGTCCAAAGAGTCCTTGTCAGCACGAGCCTCGAGGAGTAAGTGCAGAATCTCGAAGTTGTCGTGCATGACTACTGCTTCGTTGAGAGGGCTGACCCTTGACTGGGTTGCTGTTTAGCAACTTACATTGTAAGTTATCATGATATGGGTATATAGTAGATAATGGGTCGTCTCTATTCTAATACCTTAACTTTAGGTCAATCCCCCCTATAGTAATGGCTCCTTAATATGGAGTTAATAGGACCTTAATATACC